CTGTTCTCCTGTACAGGGGTTGGGGTTGCAATGATAGTGAGAATGGATCAGCCACTTTAAGCTGGGCATACAGCTCACACTGTATGCAGCACGATGCTCTGATGTGATCTACCTGCTCACCCTGTACATCAGAAGTTCTATGAACCAACAGAGACAGTGGGGGACAGACGGCGTCCTTGTCTTTCACGCTTCTACTCTTATTGTCTCTTAAAACTTTGTAAAGATTTATTAATAAATGCAAAAGTTTTGTGTACAAATAAAAACCCAATTTGTTTTCCCTAAACAAAGTGTTTGACCTTTGACCTTCCTCTGTTATTTCCTGTATGACGTTCTTTTAACCCTTTAAAAAAAGCAAGAGACTTGTTCTGATCAATTGTTTTTAAGAGACCATTATTGATGCTGTTGAGACACAGAATCAGATGCATATAAATACATCTTCACCTCCTGGTCTCAGTCGTTTTTTAAAAGCAAAATATGTATTTTGTCATTTATATTATGGAAGATAAACAACAACAAAAAAATCAATGAATATGTTTCGGTAGTAAAAAAAATCAGAGATCAGATTTTTAAGCTGTATCACCCAGCCTTACATGAGGCCATCATCACAAACTATTCAGCTTAATTTTTGAGTTGTGGAAGGCAGAGTGGATCCTGTGTAAAGAGGGCAGGATTGAGAAGTCGACCCTGTGGTGCGCCGCTGTTGAGCAGAAGTGAGTTTTCTTATCCTCGCCACCTGGAGCAGGTCGGTGAGAAGGTAACAGATCCAGGAGCAAAGCGGTGCTGATTAACCCGGGTGGTTTAGATCTACAAGCTGCATGGTGATTCCTCCTTGATCTTTTGTTAAATGCATTTAAGTTCCTAAAATTGATGTTATAGTAATAATAGTATATAATAGTGTATAATTGATAGTTCTTTATCAATCATTTTATTGTTCTAATGTCGTTGATACATTTATAAGACTCCACCGGGTTTGTTTGACATATTTTGGTCGCTAGCATCTTAATCTAATTGACTCATTTTTTGTTTATTTTTGCTACATCTCAGGTAAACAGCTGGGTGGATCCGTCCTTCTTGGATCCGTCTGAACAAAGGTTTTGTTTTGGCAAGAGGGGAGACAAACAGATCAGAGACGAGAGATCCAGGAAGAGGAAGGAGGACGGCGATGGAGGAGATCTAGATAAGCCTTGGGTCGACAAATATTCACCCTGCTCACAGGTAAACGGCAGCAGTGATGTCATTCGGCTTCACCGCTCTGATGAATTATTCAGAAATCACCTCATGAGAAGATATGATTTATTTATCATGATTTATTTATGTATTGAAACATTTTCAGAGCGATTCTCCTTTATAAAGTGAGCAGTTTGTTCTGGTGAGTTTTATTACTGCAGGAAACATTTTGAATGATTCTGGAAATGTCATAATTTCCTCTCCCTGACGACTTACTGAGGGACACAGACCGCACATCAGCCCAAAACACTGCAGCACCTCCTCGCCACATTCGAAAACAATCAAGCTTCTGGATTTCAACGTTAGCATCGGGATGAAGGAAGGGAAAAGGAGGATTTAATAGAGTAGTTGGAGG